CTTTAGTTTCTAGGATTGCGCACCAGGGTCGTTTATTTATCACTCACGGGACGCACTTGTGGTATTTTTGGTGTTGTTAGTCACTGCCAAGTTTCAGAGTGGAGACGAAATCCGCCGCTTCTCACGACTAACACAACAATCGGAATCAAGACCGTGAAACAGTACAGTGATAGGAAACTCCAAACTGATGCGACCGAGCGCACATGTGACCATTATATTCAAGCCAGACAGGAAAGCTCACAAAGCCAACCTTGTAACCGGGTCAATCTTAGATAATAAAAAATTGAAGTTCTTTGAGACAGCAGTGGTTATAGCAAGCTAGCAGCAAAAGACAAGTTATAATACGACTATAGCGAAATTGATAATAATAAGCGACATGGTTTAGCACGATGGGATCACACGTCCCAAGAGAATGTGCGGCGGCGCGGCAGGTCCAGGTGGCAGAGCTCCACGGACCGATTCGTCTGGGAGCGTACTACAAGCTCAACACAAGACCCCAAAGACACATTCACTGCTTCTACATTTGGGTCTCCCGAGACGGTCGCCGAACGTTCTGACAACATGAGATGAAATAACTCTTCTAAACGATGAGGGGCCGACTCGAGATAAAAAGGAGACAGCATCAAGTTCGTGCACAACCAACCTCACTGCTGCAAAGTATGTACTTGTTTTCCTCAGCTGAGCTCAATAGTTTCCTCATCAATCATAAAAGTTCATACACGAATCGAGAAAAAATACAAGTGGACAGAAATTCTCCAAAATTTCCTCAGAGTTTAGATATTGTCACCAGCACTTGTGGGTGATTCTGTGCAAATTTTACCACACTGACCTACCCACCTCGTAATTCAGTAGATTCATCGCTCATCGTTGGAGGATCAGGAGACTCGCAGCTCTTCTTTTCTCTCTCCACGACAAAGGAATGATACTCAGGACCAGCAAGAGCCTTCACTGAGCGATACCTGAACACAAACATGACAACACGGCGAGTCGCGCATAAGCCTACCCTAAAACTGAGATATCTGTGTACAACAACGTTACCGAACGCACTGACGACGGCATCAGTCTGACAATCGACTCAACGAGAAGAGGTCCAGAGGCCGGCATCTGAGCAGCGGATCACCCACGTTCAATTCCGGGCGAGTGTATTTATTCCCTGACTACCCCAAGCTTAGCCTTCCTTATTTCCACAGTGTTCAACTTGCCCAGAGTTTCCCTGCACACTCGACTCAGCGCAGTGACGTCATTCGGCGTCACACCACAACCGCGGCTCAACGTGAGAGTTTCCACCATGGGACACAGACGGAGCAATGCCCTGAGGTTATCCGCTTGCAGCGAGGACGACGCCGACGTGTCTACAACACTCAAACGCCTCACGTTACACCTGACACAACACGTTTGTCGAGCTCCCCAGCAAATACGGCTCTCAATCATCGCAGCTGACAAACGAGTTTGTAGCGGAGCGGTTAAAGCACGCGTTGTAAACCAAGAGATCCCGGGTTCGAA